AGTAGCAGGTTTTGGTCTGCCTTGTATTTAGCATTCATTGCCATAGAAGTGTTTTGTTTTAGAAGATTAAATCAATAGCAGATCTCTGTAACCTGGAAAATTTTAGCATTTATAACCATGTGATGTGCCTCTAAAGCTGGTAACACCTAAATTTTAGTTTCTGCATGCTGCCTTTATGTTGGGATTTATTATGAAACTAATGCATTTTTTGGAAAGTATGTAACAGTCAATTTTAGATGGACCAGAAACAAAAAGCTTAATAGCACGCTTTATATCTCTCTCACTGTTGTTTATGCTGCACTGTGAATATTAGTGGACATGACAATTAATTTTTTAATGATGTGACTGCTAAATGGAAAATGACATTGGCTTGAATGGTGCTCAGTGTAATAGGTAGAAGCAGAAATTCATAAGCCAAAATTTCAATCTTTTGAGAGAAAAATGTACTTTTTGATAGGAAACAGATGACTACCGGTATTTCGACCCCAAGATGCTGCGAGGCAGTGACAGGTGAGTTTATTATGAGTTTTGCTTCTTTCCTTGTACCCTGTGAAAAGGGTAATTTAAGAAATGCGGTTTTATTTTCCTTGCTGACTACACGTAATTAATGTTAATCATTAATTCTAAGTCAAGACAGTTGGTGTTGAAGCAGTTCACAACAGGAACTTGGCGCAACCAGATAAATTGTTATAACACTGCGGAGAAAAAAAATACATTGTTCCAGTGACTGACCATGCTCCTGACATGTACATCGGTTCAGTCACAGCAATGTGTGCTAAAATTTAGCAGTAGTAGGTGTTAGAATTCTTTATAGTTGTACTACTCTTTGAAATTTTGTGGGTTTCACTGTTAAATTAAAAAGTCATCAGATAGAAAAATTTTGATGCACTGTTACTTTTTAAACAGATACAAATTTTATTTGAATATATTATTTTAGTATAATAATAATTTATTAATTACTTTGAAAAAAATCATTAAAAATCGACTTCAGTTGCCCTTGGATAGGCATGTGCACGTTTTCCATTCATGTGCCTATGAAGAGAGGGTTGGATATCATTTATTTTGCCAATAAAAGAGAAGAGAGATTAAACTAGAAGTTTGTAGATTTATACATTTTGCTTTATATCTTTGACCAATAATTGTGGCTGATTATGTAATCTCTAGTACCCTAGAAACAAAAGATACTTTGCTTTAACATACCTTCTAAAATTAATTTTCATCGAAGTGCTGGAAAAAATAATCAGCTTGTTTAATAGCAGGGCCTTATTACAGGATGAATATGGATAAAGTATGTCCAGATTTTGTTGTAGTTATTTGCATTAAAATCAGTCCCTGCTTCCTCTGGTCTTGAAACACAAAAAGTCTATTTCTGAAAGCATAACTAGTAAGGGGAAACAAATGTGTCTTATTGGAAAGTATTATTACAGACTATATAATTTTAAAGATAAGCAGATCTCAGGTGCATCACAGAAGAAAAGTGTCAGTATTTTTAGGAAATTTTGTGCAAATTTTATTAAAGCTGAAGTTGGTTTTCTCATGTAAATATGCATTTTTACCTACTCCATGTAGTTCTTATGTCGCTTTAAACAATGTAAAATTACAGCAGTTCATAAATGTACCATTCATCATAGTGAAAAACCTTCTAATTTCTAGTTTGGGGGTTGTAGAGAAACTCAAGTTACATTCCTTAAATCATATTTGAGCATGACAGCAAAACTCTTGCATAGGTATATAGGGGTTTGTCTAATTCTCTCTTCAAATATTTATGTGGATGATAAAAAAACATAGGTTAGCTGGCTTGACGGAATGTTACTAGTTTAAAATACTATTTTTTCTAGCCTACTGTTTTAATACTGGTATTTCTACCCATTATTTTTTAAATAGAGTAGGAACTGTACCACTGTAATTCAGTCTTAGCAAAACAGTATCTTTATATCCTGTGTGTGTAAAGCCTATGTCAAGTATAAACAGCCCTTGCTCCCAGAAAGGAAAGGATGGCACAAAGCACATGTGAATTTATCATACCGTATTAAACAACGAGGGAAGTGGGGTAACAGTTCTGCTTATGGGGAGTCTGTAGTATTCATGACAGATCAAAACAACATATTAGAGATAACGATTCCCTCTTAAAAAAAAAAAAAAAACTTTTTCTGATACACTGAAGTCTGCTTTGAGGCAATTACTGTTTCTCACTCAAAGTAAACTTCTTGAAATAAGGGAAAAAATGTAAGCTGAAGGGAAAAAATGCACTGTGTTTAATCCGTGTTAGAACATAGCATGATATTTGACTACCTGCAGCTGCAGGCAAGTACAGGACAGGAAGGTGGTGGCAATGTGTGAGCAACGGTCAGGAGAGCAGACTGACCCTTCAGAGCTTTCTCTTTGCCTTTTCCCTTCCTCCTGAAGGTGCAAGGTGATGCAGGAAAAAAGGTTTCTCCCCCTTGCCTTGCTACTTGCGTGTGTCTAAGACTGCATTCAGATGGAGAGGAAGAGCCTATACCACCCAAACTATAACTTACCTCTTCCTCCTTAAATCTTTTTATTCCTACTGTTGTTGTGACACCAGAACACATACCTGCAACAGTAAGTATATAACGCAGGCACAGCAAATTAACTGGCCTCACCTAGTTAAGATTCCAGTAGGCAGGATTTGTAAGTGTCAGGAACTGTGCTAACACTGCTGAAATTTTTTATTCATTATATTTGCTCCTAGCTAGCAGCACTAGAGTTGGAGTTTTTAAGGTCTGAAGTGTTGTCATAAAGCTTATGATTCAAGCAGCAACCTTAAAACTGATGCAGTAGAACTCCTGTTTATCCATGTGTTCAGCCCTGTAGAATGAATGATTTTTCATAACATACTTGGAGAATGAATGTAGAAGGTCAGTTATTGTCCTGTTTTACATCTATGCCTAATATTATATTGTACTTCAGAAATATGTTTACATGATACTTATTTTGCATATTTATAGTAATGTCTTAACAAAATATAAAGTGCAGTTTGTTTGTATTTCTTTTTATAGCTCAGTTCCAAGAAACAAAAATCCATTCCAGGAGGTAAGTCACATAAAAATTATTTTTCAATGTTCATGTGTAAAATATAATAAAATTCTCAAGTGCCAGTAATTTTTGATGATCAAAATAAAAAATAAAAATAAAATTAAAAAAAACACAAGAGGTCTTGTTTGCAAAACCCACTTGGACTAATTTTATCTAGTATTGACTATAATTAGCTGTTACTCTGAAGAAGTGTTTTTATCTTCAAAGGACTATGTCAGCATTAACTAATACTCAAGAAAAGAAACAAATCTAGAAAACTCTTCTGGAGGTAATCACAGGGATTCATTAATATTATAATTGGGTACTCAGCAGTTCAAATCCCCCCACTTAAATACCAGATCTTTACAATGCTCTTCAGATTTAATCCTTTGTCCAGCCTTAAACAGTAGTGTTGACTACTGCTTTAAGTGTTTTAAAGAGTCTCTGCAATTAAAGGAAAAAAGCACAACAACAGCAAATCTTGTCATTTTATATAAATGCCAGTAACTTTCAGTATTTTTCAACATAATTATTTGCAACTAGTAAACATCTCACTTATCTGATCTTACTGCCAAGTTTCATAAGCAAAATCTTACCTTGGCAATATACAAATGTCTCAGATTTCTCCTAATTATCCTGAACAAAAGAAATACCGTGTGGTATCATACATACTGGCTAACAGATAATCATAGCAAAAACATCAATAGTAACAAAATCTCTATAAAATTCATATACTGTAATCAAACAGTTTTGGATAGTGAATGTTAACAAAAATGATACAATTATTAAAACTCCTTTTTCTGTTCATTGATTGTTCCCTTTTAAACACAGCCCAGAAGATACTGATGGCCTTTACCTGTAATATTGTAGATTATTACCAGTAGTAACAGGGGGGAATAAGAAAACAGTGTATTTCTATACAGTGGAAGTATTTTATTTGCGTCTCAAATTATTCTTGCTCATCCATGGAAATATTTCCACTGTTCCTATGGACACCGGAGACAGCTCCACACAAAAAAAGTAACATGTTGGAACTGCATAGGCTTCAAATATTTCTTAGTAGAAGATAGTGACATGCTAAAAGCTCTCAACCTGCTATTCTGCATCCTCCTAAAACTGCAGTGTTATTAGGATTATTTTTATGGTATCTATTATGATTTGGTATGTATCTTACTACTGAAATGTTAAGAATTTGAATGCAAACTCTGATAATGTGTGTGTTGCCTTTTAGGCGATAGTGTTTGTAGTCGGAGGAGGCAACTATATTGAATACCAAAATCTTATTGACTACATAAAGGTATGTGCACTTTTGTTGTTTATAACTTGCTGATAGAAACCAGTTTTAGCAGGTTTTCTGTAACATTTAGTATTTAGAAGATTGAGTCTATGAATGTAGCCTTAACATCCCTAATATATACAGAGCCTGGGAAAAAAGCATAGAAGAAATCAGTAGAAAAATGTGGATCTTTAATTCAGATCAACAAAGAGTTACTGTTTCTGGTGTTTTTGCTCATGTTGCACTTTTGAATTGAGAACTGCATTCTGCTTTATTTTGTCTTCATATGCACTAATGTGGTTGAAAACTGATGTAGCTAACTGAAGTAACAGATGTAGCTGTTTGAATTAACCTGTCTTCCGTACTGATGCATCAGATGCTGTCAGTTTGGCTGTTCATATTGTGTGAGAGTCCTGTTACTAGTTTTCATTTGCTGTTGTTAAATAAAGCAGCTATAGCGTATCATAGCCTTGAAAGTAAGGAACTGCACAGAATTCTCTGGTTTCTTAAATCTTGCAAACAAGATACAACAGTGCTTTTTCATATGTAATTTAGCAGTATGAAGTCAGTTCAAAACAAAGTCTACAGATAACAGTATCTTATTTTACAATACTTACTTGAACATAATGTCTGTTGTTTCTGAGGACAGCATAATGCAAATACAATGCTATCTGTCAAAGCAGAGATCAGAGTGGCATCAATATCTAAGCATTTATTATTTATCCCCCTTTCAGAATTTTTGCTAATGAGTTAATGGAACTGCATTCTTCATATGCTGCATCACTTGATTCTGCAGAATTCTTAAGAGGTGGTATATGCAAAAGGAAAAAAACACATAATTGTAATGCCAATATAACAGACTTAATGTCTCCGGTTCCAGCAGGCCAGCCTAACAACCTAGTCAGTGGATGGACAAAAGTAACTACATCATTACAGTTCTTGGGGTGTGGAGGTGGAATTCAAGCACTTCCCAGGATTAAAAAAATATATATAATTAAATAAATATGGGGCATTAGTCACTGAAACCCACTTCTTCCACAAAACAAGCACAGGAGACTTTTGTGTCCAGGTAAATCTTGAAGAACTTGGAGGTCAGAATGTGTACCACGTTGTTTCACCCCATCTAACAGGCAGCTGTTTTGGAACAGAGCTGGTCTGGATAGGAAAAAGGAATGAAGAAGAATGTAAGTTAAAGAAATAATCTAGGCTCAGCTTAGCACTTACCACTCTTATTGATAACTAATTATAGCATTCAGTGAGGAACTTCATACAAAGAGGCAGGAAGCTGAAGTTTCTGAGGAACAAGAGGGCAAACAGGAGGTTATTTGGTAAACAAATGGAGAGGACAGAAGGAACTAAAAAGTACAGGAATTGTAATGTTAGATCTTACAGAGCCAGAAGCTGGATGTGGTTTTTCTTCTTCTGGAACCCATGGACAGTGGTTTCTTCATCATCTGTTGTCACAGCTGAAGAGTTCGTTATGTTTCTCCAACTAGAGTGCGTACTTGGTCAGTGAGAGATGACCCAGGGGGAAAGAATCCCACACCTTGATTCCACTGAGCCGCTTGCTCTTGAGAAAAAAAAAAACAGGAAAGTTACCAAAGCCCCCACGCCCCAGAGACTTGTCTGCCTCTCCCAGGTGATTCTTACAGGCTTATCCAGTAACAGTTGAGTTTTCTGTGGGGTACACTTCCAGCATCTGTTGTTTCAACAGATGTAGCTTACTAATTATTCTAATATTCAATCAGTCTTCCTCCTGAATAAAAAGGAAAAATCAGAAGGTATCTTGACAGGTATCCGGGTGCAAGAACAGAGCTTTTTTCTTTTCTTGCAAGCAGATACCACAACGATTTTATTCACTGCTTTATTTTTCTAAACACTATCTGTTTTGCCAGTTTGCCTCTGAAAGCACAGAGAAGAGATTTTAAAGCTTTCTAAAACAGGAAGCAACGTTCATTCAGCTTTGACATTGTTTGTTTTTTTTTTTTGTAGGAGAATTAAGAGAAACCCTCAAATCCAATTATTTGCAGTTCTGTGCTGTAACAGACTATTGCACATTATCAGAAAGCAAATATTTATGTCAGCAAGACAGGTCATGCCTTAAAGATATTAGCCAAGTTCGGATTAACATGCTGAAAATGCGTCATCAAAATTGAAAGCCACAGGGACCCTCAGGGAGAGGCCAGGATACGGTTTTGTACAGGAGAATTTAGCATGTCCTTTAATGTCCGTTTGTATGTGGTTGGAAGGGTACTGCTTGATAATCTGTTCCAATCTGTGCTAAATGTTATATCACAAGAAGTTTAAATCCAGCAGAGATTCTTGGTCATGAAAAAATGCTGGACTGAAGAGCATTGAGCTGGGTTTTGGGGTTTCTTTTAGGTGTTGAGGACTTTTGACTTGGCTCCAATAGTTATTTGGAGATTGAGCTCTTTGTTTGAATGGACTAAAAAATTAAATAAAAGCATACACATTTTAAAATTTCACTTTTAGAAGAATATATACAACAGACTGGAATGTATTTTAGAGCTGTCTGGAAGACAAAACGGTCCCATTTCACAGAATCATTAGGGCATGAAGGGACCTCTGAAGACCGTAGCCCAACCCCTCTGCCAAGGTGGGGCCACACAGAGCAGGTTACACAGGAACACATCCAGGTGGGTTTTGAATGTCTCCAAAGAGGGAGACTCCACGACCCCCCCTGAGCAGCCTGTTCCAGTGCTCTGCTTGTTTGTATACTTTAATTCTTTTCTTGGTACTAAGCAGAAACAAATACTATTCAGTCATACTACTGAAAGTGGAATCTTTCAAAATACCAGTTTAGATCAAAACCAGACCTATTCAGGCATCAAGATTAAGAAAAAGCTGGCTTGAAATGTGGGAAGACACAAGCTCAAGATCCTGCTCCGAGACGACAATAGCTTATTACAACAAAAGACTTAATAAAGTTGAGGACTTGAACCAGGATTACCATCTCCCCAGTTAGTGTGTGACTGTTCAAATCTGCTTCTGGTACTCTCTGCTGAAGCAGCACAGTTCGTAACATATGCGAAAGCAAAGACTTATTTTCCCATTTTACTCTTTATTAACTAATTTTTACCTAAATATGGGAAAATGCAAAATAATTTAACAGTGAAACGGGTTTCTTAAGCCTATGCTTGAACTTTGAGGAACCATGGTATTACTAGCCCAACACTGGAAATAAACTTGGTCTGAAACTGTGTATTACTTAAAGTAATTTTCATTTCCAAAATGCTAACCTAGCCTTTTGGTAACTTTACTATCAAGTCAGTGCTGTTAAACTGCACACTAGGTTAATTATGTATCCAGTTGAAATCAACACAACACTTTGTTTCAGAATTCATTTACCAAAAAAATGTGCTGATTTTATCATCATCATCATATGGAAATCAATTACAGATTGAAGTTTTCAGGTTCTAATACAACAAAATCAGTAAATATGTCATTATTACTGTTAGCACAGTGCTAAGTTATTGTAGGGGTTGGGATTGTTCAGGTAGGGATGTTAGCTTCCCCAGGCCATTCATAGATACATCAAAGAACTTGGCATTCTAGTGAGTTTAAATGTGTGAAATGCCCCATTTTTCCGACTTTCTTTCTGCCTCTAGTTGCTCATCTTCCACTTTAAATACAGAGTTGTTTTCCTCTGGTGGAGCAACTGTTCATTTTCCGGCCAAAAAGTGTAAGACTTCAACATCATCAAGATGGGGCTTGGGAATTTTTTTGGTATGCCATTAGTTTGTCACTTCTGCTACTCTGTTAAACACTTGATTTCTTTGTCTTGTCTTTTTTTAGGGTAAACAAGGCAAACACATCCTGTATGGCTGCAGTGAACTTTTTAATGCTACACAGTTTATAAAACAGGTAGGTACCTTTGATAACTTCTGTAATATTTATTGCCTCCATAACTATGCATTGACCTATTTGCTTTTAGATTTCTCCATGGATTTTAAATAAATAAATAAATAAATGTATGTATATAAAACCCACACAAACTAATTTGGGAAAGATTACATGTTCTTGTTATCTGTTTTCATTTGATTGAAATGGTGGTTTAGAGTCATTATTTTCAGTTAACTTTTGAAGGCCTGTATTGTCAATGTGAGTTCAAGGTAATGCAGGTAAACAAGTTCATAATAATTACCTTTATGTAAAAATTAATAATAAAAAAAAATAACCCCATTCTTGATATTTTCACAAATAGTGTGTCTTTACAGGCTGTTCTAGAGACTTTTACAACTCAAAAACTGCTGTTTAACTGTGGTGTTTAAACCTTCATCCCAAATTTGGTTATTTATAAATACTGACCTAGTGGACATTGATGTTGTCCATACCTATACTAAAAAATCATTCTTCTGTTTAAAAACATTATAATCAGCATTATGTCTCTATGCCTTATTCCAATACAAATGCAAAATAAAAATTGTGCACTGTGGTCAGCAAATAGCATCCCTTCAGTAGCTGTCAGCACCTATGATTTTCCTACTAAGATGAGAATAAATTGTTAATCAAAATTACATGTTAAAAACTAAATTAATTATTGTTGCACTTGAAGGAGAAATATGGTACTTATCAGCTTATAACTCTTCAGTCAGCTTAATTAACTAGCTTTTTTGTTGACTTCACTATGTGTACTGTACCTTTACTTCGCAGATTTATTAAAATCTTAGTATCTGAAGCTTAGATCCTTTCCTGTGAGGGTATGCATTAAATATTCTATTACCAGCATACTTTTGGCTGTAAGAGGCAAATAAAAATAAAGCTCATAGGATAGAAGTACTTACTCTGTGAACTGGATATTGGTTTGACTGAAAGAATAAGATTAGCAGCCTAATGGTTTTCTGTCTCTTCATGTTTAGCTGTCCCAACTTGGCCAGAAATAAGACTGAAACACCATTACCAGGATGTCAAAGTGACAACGGAGAATTATTACAACATTCAGATATCTTCATAACTATAATTTTGTCATTATATTAAAACAACCCCATTTCATTAATATAACTTTTAAAAAATATCTGTAATTAATATGGTGAATATCAACATTTACGAAATAAACCTTAAAACCTGCTATGTTTTTGGTGGGGGTTGGTTTCACATTATTACATTCTAAATGCAGTGTGAGCTATGGTGTATGACAGAACTGGCTGAAAAGCACAACGTTTTCAAGTTTTTATCTATAGTTTCTGTTACAGTAAACAAAGTAAAAGCTTGAAGAAAAGGTCAAGTCTGTCTTTAGGAAATGTTTTACTTCTTGAAAGCCAGACTGTCTTTCTTTAACAGAATTGAAAAGGACAAAACCGCCTTTTAGGATCACAGACAAACAGCCTTAGTGCAAGAGAATTACTACAAGTTCTTACCCTTTTATTTTACCAAAGCCATTATACTTGTACTTAGATTTGTGCAGTCGTTTCTTGATGGTCCAAAGATATACTTGACGTACAAGTTTCTGATAGATTAAAATTTAGCTTTTATGGTTAAGAGAAAATCACTTGCCTACAAAATCAGTTTCAACTGTAAAACTTTACAGTTTTACATTTTTAACCATTTTCTTCTGCACTTTTTATTGTAACTACTGTTATACTCACACAACAGCTCATAACTTTATTACAAGCACATATTTAAAATAGTTTTTAACAACTGCATGAAGTAGGAGCAGTTAAATAGTTTGAAAAAATCTCACGATAAAATAATTTTGCCAGCTAGGATAGCTCTGAAGAGCACATGTGGGAATTGGGAAAAGGGAACTAATTTTCTTTATAGATGTAGATATATGCCTCTAGAAATGTCCTCTTTGGAAGCCGCACTGCTACTGATGAAGCAATAATACATCTTCAAAATGAAGCCTAACATACTGAAAAAGTGAGAAGAACATACTTGTGATTTTATTAACAAACTGTGGGAATTACTGGCTTACTGTAAACTTTTCAGCAGTGTTTTTTTTTCTGCACTGTTCTTTAATGGTGAATGTTAATTTTGCTCTAAAGGCAGTATTCTTTCCCCAGCATGCCTGTACAAGAAGTGCAATTGAGCTATTCCTTAAAAGTATCACCGTAAAAATATGCATAATCTAGTCCATGGTATTAAAAAGTAATAATGTGATTTAATTTTTTTCAGCTGAGTACTGTAAACTACTCCACACTACTACTATAAACTTCTAATCTTACCATGTCAATAAATGCATTTACTGTGGTGTTAATTATAGTTGCATGTGAGCACTCTCCCATGCTTCAGTCAGCAAGGACTCATCTTGTCAAATGCACTTTGTTATGCTAATTCCCTATATATTTGTTAGTAAAAGCAAGGTGAAAGTGCATTTGGAAAAGAAAAATTACATTTAAGGTGTTTATTGCTTCCTCTGGGAGTGTGTTCGAGGAGCTTGAAATAATCCATCCCCAAGAAAACTGTGCTTCCTGTGCAAAGAGTTTTAACCTTGCAGCTGACAGCCAGCTTCTGAAAAATCTGCTGACAGCTTTTTGTCCAGATCTTGACCCTACTCATTTAAACCAGGAGCACTCCTAAATCACAGCTTGCAGATTCTGCTATTTCAGTAAACTTTGTAAAGATAACAGAAATTACTTTGGTGGCAGTGATCAAAAACTTAATTTGCAGTTTTTACACTGTCCCTGAGATAGGTTTTATTTCTGCCTAGTTTTATAGCTGAATCTTGTGAGCATGCACTGGTCAGTTCAGGTTTGGGTTTTTTTTCTTAAACTAATAAACACAGTTTTAGTACTTCAAACATTCTTCTCTTTCTAAACTAGCTTTCTGGTTTTGTCATAGTAGTAGTCCTAAAGCTCTCCATTACCATTAAAAATCTCACATTTACCACTCTTAACAGCATACTCATCATGCTTCTTTCCTTCTGACCCAACCTAAGTTATGGAGTGCTGGTTTTTGTTACAGGGCCCTTTTCCCCGAACACCTCTTGGAGAATTAGGAATGTAGAAGGTTGTACAAGAAGTCTCCATGATTGATCTAGAGGCAAACAGTGTTAAAAATGAACTGGCTTTTTGGCATGCTTACTCAATTTATAGCCAGTCCCTATGCCCTTCACATCCTCAAAGGTTCCTCGCAGACTTGTGCTCATTATGCCCGGCTCAGCGGGTCTTTTAAATAAAATTATACCGTAGAATCATATAATCACAGAATGGTTTGGGTTGGAAAGAACCTTAAGTTCCAACCCCCAGCCATGCAGTGTTCCTGTTGCTAATAAATATTTTAGGTGGCTGCATGGCAGACCAGGGGGTTTTGGAACTTTTCTAGCCTACTCTGTCAATAAACCTCAGGCAGGGCTGGCTGACAGGGCTGTGCTAATGGCAAGGCCAGCTTCCATGCCTCAGGACTGGCAGTTCTTAATTGGGCTTTACCTTCCCCTTTAGGTAAGTAAGGGCAGCACAAGGCTGAGTGAGTTTTAAGTGCTGTCCTTGTTCTCAGGAAGAAAATAAGCACTGTGGCCTTCACCTGTGGAAAACTGGCACATCTGTCTTTCAGGAAGTAGAGACAAATCTTGCAAATGGCTGCATACACTCAATCACTTCAAGAATTCACAGTTTGAAAGGTTCTTCGCTAACTTTCTTACTTAAATTTGAAGGTTTTAGAATATTTAGATGGCTATTTTGGGTATGATCAATATAGTGCCTTTGTTTCTCAGAATTAGGCACTTTTTTTTAAAAAAAAAAAAAAAAGTAGTTTGAAATTCTCATTATAAACTTTATAGCTTTATCTGCCCATATCTTTCCCCTTCTGGAAATCAAGCAGGACCAAATTTTACATTTTAAAATGTTGCACTGAACTTACCCCACCTCCTTTTAGTAATTGCAGAAATTGGCTTTCTTGGTTTGGCAATGGAGGAGCAATCTTTATCCTGTGAAACCAGAAAAATCCCCATAAGCCTCAGAACTATCAGTCCCAAGTCTTACCTCAGTCTTCCCGTCTTATGCACATGCACATTCCTGATTTTGGCAATCTAAGGGGTAGCTTGTACACATAATGCTTTCAAACAAAATTGCTTGTTAGCATCTCAGCATGGCCATGCAATGTAATTAGTATTTACTGCTCCAAATCATTGTATTATGTATGTATTATGAAAATAAATGGATGAAAGTTAACATGGATGAAAATTAAGTGCCAAAGAGGCATGTAGCTTCCCTTAAGAATTGCTGTGGATTCTTTCTGTAGTTGCTGTGTTTTGATTTGGACTTAGTACTAATGAACTGATGAGAATACAATCCTCAATAGTGTTTCCTGTAACTGAAACCATCCTCCCCTCTTTTTTCCTTCCTCCCCCAAGTAAATTTGTAGTATCTTCCCTCTACATAGAGATCTTCAGAGGTTTTGAAATTATACTGCAAAATTAGTTTTAACAAATAACAAAGGGATTTACTCCTACTTCATTTGGAGAGTAAAATTACACAGGTCAGCTCAAATAATTTTTCTGGTGGACTTAGCTGTTTAATTTACACTGTGAAATGAACTCGGACTATTTGTACATTCAGCTACAACAGCAAAGCTTGGTTCTTACTGCATCTCTAACAAGTAGAATAATTGCAACACCTTGTATAATGACTTCAGGAGCTCTGCTCTGAAGTGTTTATTACAATGCAAGCGTATGTATGTATTGATTTAAAAAGAAAGAATCAAAGCATTCAATTCAATACATGCCTCTCAAAAGACTTCTAAACCATAAATCAACATACTGTTATTTCTTTCAAATGCAAATAACTATACACTTTTTCTAGACTACAAATACACAGTATATGAAATAGATTGAATAACAGCAACATTTTCTTCCATCTATAAATCCTATATGATTGGTATCTTCCTACTTGTTTTGTTTGTCCTTTTATGCGTTCATGTTTTCTGTTATGTGTCCGTAACAAAGACTATCAGATCTGATCATAAAACCACATGAGGGCAATCAGCCAAAGATTATGGATTATGGCACAAAATGTTTCCCAGGCAAACACACATTTTTTTGTGTCACACTTGTATATTAGCAAAGCTAAGTATTGCATTGCCAGTTTTGCTGGCACAGATAATAAACCCTCATTTCCTATATGCGAATGAAGTAAAACACTGCTGGTATAATATTTTCTTCAGATTCCCTTACGAGTATGCTCCAGTCCTCTAGGAGGATCTCCTTTGCTTCATTTTCCTGGGATTATTGACAGCTAAGCTACTGAGCTCCAGCTGCAATGTGAATTCACCCTAGAGGCAGAACCTCGATCCACTTCCCATAGATTGTTAGTCAGCCATAGGCCCTGTTCATTCGGGTGCAGTTTGAATTGGTAACTCACAGGGAGAGGTACCTACTCTAGAATTCTTCTGTCCAGTTCCAGTACTGGGGATATACTTTTTTGCCCAGTGAAAAAAAGCTTTGGCTAGCCAGCCTTCCCTCACTGTAGCCACGCTCTGATGAAGATAAGCACTACTCCACAGGGAGGGTAACTACGTAAATCTACCTTCTGTGGGTTTATATATCTCCATCAGTCTGGAAGTCACCTTTATCACATGAGAGATATGTGGTAGTTTGAAGAAAAGGAAGGGAAAACAAACAAACCAATCAACCAACAACTGGAAATCCTGTAGAAGTGTCAAAGACAACAAACCCACTTGCTGTGTAGACCCTCACTGTACGCCACAAAGACTGTTGAGCAGCTCTTACTTTGCTAGCCCCATCACCAGCTTTCTGATAGTTCTGCAGACCACGTTTCTCCACAGGGAGTGGAATCTGGTCCATTCATCTTGCCTTGCATAGGGCAAGAAAAGGCAGCGTTACCAGCCCAGGGCTCTCGGGGAGAGGAGCGAGCACTCACATCTTTAGCTGCGCTCACTACTCGCTGGAAAAGTTGACTTTCTGCAGGCTCAGGGCCCAACACGAAAACAGGTGAACCAAAAAGAGGC